AAGATACATCAACATTATCGGTTTTATAAAGATTATAATTTGAATGCATTTAGTTGAATCTACCTGAGTGTTGAAAAAGAACTGATTTGACTTGTGGAATTAATCAATTCATTATCCTGAAACCAGTCCAACATGAAACAAGGGGATCAAACAAAATGCTATTTATGGCACTCAAACCACATTTTATGATAAGAAATGTTTCTTTTGAACTTGATCAATTTAACTTTGTTGTTCCTTTCCCTCTCACCCGTTCTCTGCTCCTCTCTTTGTTCCACCCAGCTCCTTCAGCAGTTTCTGGTGCTCTTCATACACAGACAGCACACTGCAGAGGGCAGACACATAAGACACAGTGAATGGTTTGCACGACCAACTGGTTTTAAAATATCTGCCGGTATTATAAGAGTTCTCTGAACCTCTGGATAGAGTTGCTGTAGTCCTCAGCGAACTGCAGACCTCTCTGTGAGAAGACGATCTTAGTGTCCGGGGCGAGGGGAGCTGCCAGGGCTCGTGTCACACACTCCTGCACCGCCTCGGCTGAGGCCCAGGGGTCTCCCGACACCTCCAGCTCCAACAGGTTCATGTGTAGTTTATCATTATCCTGATGGAGAACACATGGAGAGACGGAGGCAATTAAAAACTATGTTATTATGTGTCTTAAATACTAAGCTTTTGCTTTTTACTTCTTAAAGTACAATCATGAAGGTACATTTTTAGTTTGTGGGTATCACACAAAGTACTTCAGGGGTTTTACTGATGTGACTATCTGAGTGTTTGTCCCTACAAAAAGGCAGCACAGAGTCTTCCTGACACCAAGCAGAAGACCACTGGACTGTCTGTGTGAGAGAACTGGCCGAGACAATTGTGTAGCTGGAGCGCCCCCGAGTGGAAAGGAAAGTAAGACCCTGAACTGCAAACTATGTGAATTGCAAAATAAAATAAACTACTGACTATCTTGTGGAGCAAAGTCTGTATATGTTTAAGGAAGGAGGTAGGTAGGAGCCACTAGCCAGGATATGGTCGACCTGCGTAACATAACCAGCTGCTGGAGAGAGAGGACTCCCAGAAAGCTGAGGGGCAACTCCCCTCTTTCTGCAGACCTGCCTAGGTTTTTGATATGGACTAAAGTGACTAACGATAAACACACAATCTCATAACTAATCACACCGTTTTCCTGTACCATGGAGCCGAAATGCTCCCCCTGCCCCGACATTAACACACTACTCATAAAAACCCTGTATTTCAGAGTTGTTGTTGTTTTATATCTGGAAATTCTCCTTAATAAAAAATAAAAAAATACACTGACATTATTTAACTTTTAAAGCTTTTGGTAATGGCAGATTGAGAGGAGACTGTGATGGTGTTATTAGCTGAAATATTTGTGGGTGTTGGTTACTCATCTCACCGGACTGATCTCCAGCGCCTCCTGTAAAACCCTGCGGGCTCTGCTGGGGTTCCTGCCCAGTTTAAACAGCAGACGAGCCAGCTTGATGGAGTAGAAAGCATGTAATGTTGGCTTCTCCTTGGATTCGGCCACCGCCTCCTGCAGCAAGGCCTCCGATTGGTCCAGCTGGCCCGCTCGTCTCTCTAAAGCTGCCCTGCGAAGACGGACCACCGCCAACCCTGGTAGGGTTTTCTCCAGGGCCTCCAGCACTCGTCGGGCTTCGGTTAAGTCACCTGATGGAAAACATGGAGGAGTTTTCATGAGTGTGGCAATAAAAGGTCTCCGTCTCTGATGGTTTGTCTGAATTCTACAGCAGGTTTTGGGGCTTTGTGATGTTTTTGCATCAGACATCTTTATAATGAGGTCTTTCTACTCATTCAAAGGTATGGAGAATACATATTAGAAACAACTTTTGATACAAGGCACCTTTCTAATGCAACAACACCACAGGCTACAACCTAAAACACCTTGTATCATGTACCTACCACTGTAAATTAAAATTAGACTGTTGTATGTATTACAAGCACAAGTGCAGACTGTTAAAGGTACCTTGTGTGTTAGGGAATCATTTTTTTGTACACATTTTATTTGTTCTCATGTTCTTGTGCACATGGATGCACGAGATGCACAGCCCTATGATGGCTTCACACAATTCCACTGCAGCAGAAATTCACCAGGAAAGAGAGAAGTAAACGACAGCGTTTGAACTACACACAATGATGGTACTCGCCGTATCACAGTTCCTGTATTTATTTTACCTTGACTGACATTGAATCTGTTAAGAACTAATTCACTGATTTCTGTATTTGTACAGTGTGTCCCGTCGTACCGTGCCTCTCCTCGAAGGTGGCCCAGTGCATGTGGATGTTGGGTTTGTGCGTCAGGTGGATCCCACAGGCTCGGTGGAAAACAGCCCGCGCCTCGTCCACGCTGTGCAACTCCAGGTACTGAGTGTACTGAACAACACATACAAGATACATGTTACACAGAGATCACGCCACACAGACAGACATCTCTTTTTAATCTAGTCTCTAGGCTCACAGGGGTAAATGTGCACTAGACATTAATTCTACTCACCCTGGTCCAGAACTCCTCATACAGAGCGCAGGCGATCAAGCAGCGCTCAAAGAGGATGCGAACCCTGTGGTCGTCATGGGCATCCACAGCATCCTCGGATGCTTCCTGAGGCTGGGCTGTGACCTCTGACCCCTCTGTGGCTGCCTCGTTTGGATCTAGGAGGCAACAATGGTGTCAGAACAGTGGAATTTGTAGAATCGCTGAAGGATTCAGGTGACAGCTGACAGTATCTTCAGTATGTAGTCACCTTGGCTGGAGTCTCTGGTTTCCTTGTTCAGCTGAGCGATCTCCCAGTCCAGGTAGGTGTGCCAGGCCCGCAGCTGGAGGCGGTCGAGTGGCTTGACATGGAAGTATGGACGTTTGATCTATAGGTCAGAGAAAAAGATATCAGATAGCATGTGATGAAAGTGAAAAAAGACAACAGAATATTTATAAGAAAAAATTCAAATTCTAAATCTTTTGTTGTAAAACTGCAAACACTATTCAAAAATGCCTCTATAGAAAAATGTGTTATGTTGTTGTGTTAGGGTATCCAACGTATAGGGCTAAACCCAGCGCTAGATTTAGAATAAAATGCTTGGAAAATGTGTCATGCCTTGGTTCGAGTTTCCAAAGCAACAGAAAGACAGCAAGAGAAAGATAAGATACGACAGACTTTATTGATCCCACACTGGGGAAATGTGCTTGTTATGTCGGGATAAGAGAGGGAGGGAGAAGCAGAAAGAAATTTAAACTAACACTGTGGAGTAGAAAGAGGAAAAAAAAAAAACTCACAGCATCTTCAAAGTGCCATCTCTTGCGGACTTCTCCCTCGTTGTCCTGGTACACTTTGTCCCTGCGAACCAGCACTTGTTCCCTGATCTTCTGCATCAATTCCTCCTAAACACGTCAAAATAGTTAGCATATATTTGTTTTCATCCTCATTACACAGAAATCCTGTCAGGGTTGAGTGTGAGGCTGTCGGATGTTACTCACTGTGTCCGTGCCATCAGGTGTGGCGGGCTCTTCCTCCCCAGGCGGCCTCTCCTCCTCCTCCTCCTGGGCCTGTTCTGCACGCTCTGCCTTCTGACTCTGACGGCACAACGTCCTCAGCTCCTCGTACTCCTCCGGGGGAAGCACATCTTTGGGCTCGTGGCCGTTCAGGTGTTCCTTGAACCTGATGGAGAGAGCGCAGAGGGGGGAGACGGAGCCGGGCGCGCAAAATGAGATTAATGGGAGAAGAAAAGAGAGAAAAAGAAAGAGAGGGGAGTTCAGGTAAGAGGAGAATATTCAACCTGGCACTCACAATAATGCAAGAAAGATCACTATTTTTGTCTTCTATAAATTAATTTCAAGATTTAAGCCCCTGTGTGTGTGTGTGTGTGTGTGTGTGTGTGTGGTCTTACTTGTCGTAGTGGGTGTTGTAGAGCTGAGTGGGGACTTTGAGGACTCTGTCCAGGACGGCAGTTGCGTTCTTCATGTTCCCCTGCTCCTTCTCCCACTCAATGTAAAGATCCCAAAGCCGGTCTGAGTGGAAGTCCAAGCCTGCTGCCTGAACCGCATCCTCGAAAACACTG